CATAGTTGTAAAAAAGATCAAATACAAATTTGAAAATTTCAGATTCAATTTAAAAAACGCAAAGTAATTCAAAGAGTAGATGTCTCTTCAAGAATAGAGAAATTCACTAAAAGAACCGTAGAAATATCAAAAATACGAACGCTATAATCAACAGTTTACTTTTGTAATTCAAACAGATAAGATAATAGAACTCATAGCTAAACCGATACACATTACTTGTAGAAATCGTATTTTCTATCACAATAATTTTCCATTACTTTCAGATTAATAGATATTCTCTTGTAATACAACCAACTGTTTCTTCTATGAGACTTTATTTTCTGACAAAATGTGATACTTACTTTTGAAAACAATAATATAATCAAATTCCTGCTCTCTTTCCTATTTCATCTTCACGAATAGGTTTATTTTGTAAATGTTTTCATCGCAATGATCTTTCGTTTTCAATTCAATTATTTTTATCCAGCAAATATAAGTAATTGACCAATATTTGTTGGATTATCATAAAATACATTTTTCAAATTATATTCGTTCTTATTTCATAGAGCACTAGTGAACAAATTAGTTGTCAAACTTCACAATATTAGATTTTGATATTCTTTATTTGACGATCCTAATAGGTCTTACACATGGATGTATACTGGCTGTGGCAAAATGTTTGCTGCATCTTTTTAAAAGGTCTTCGGAATTGTTTTTTTATTATACTCAATGCAGTGGAAAGTGACATTGTCACGTAGGCTTTTAATTTTGAGTATGGGAAAAAACCATCGGCACAAATCAATAGGGACTTATTATTTAGTCAAACCACCTTTTTCAAGGCTTCTGTTCGAAGTTTGAAAAATTCTGAATTTTCGCTAGTTTCGAATACTAAATTGAGATTAAGATGTGATTTAGTCGTCTTTAAAATATATTCAAATTATCGAATGTCTAAGAAGTCCTAACTGCTGATCACCGCATTGGGAAAGAATTTATAAATATCTTCATATAAGTTTTTCTGGCGTAATAGAAGCAAAGTATAAGAAAAGGTTACAACAAAATCTCAATTGTTGGGATACAAAATCATATTCTAAAATGAAGTCCTACAGTAGCTAAAACAGCTTACACAACCACTAGATGATGATCTACATTTGACGCCATTTCCTTCGAGCGAGTATATCTCAACTTCGTCATCTACGATTAAAACAATGCAAACCATAGAAAGAAAATTCATTTTGAAGAATGAAAAATTCTGCATTTTCTAATTTAACAATACTTTCTTTTGAACTCAAGACTTGGATAAAACCTTCAAAATTCCATACCAACTCATCAACCATAAATGAATGCGTACTTTTTTCCCTATTGAAAAGTAATAAGAAGCGCACGATATATTAACATATAGATGGATAGTCCAAAAACTTTTGCATCTTTTACATGTTGAAGTCAGTTCCTTTTAAACAAATAACAATTTTAGTTTTTCTGATTTTTTACTTGAGCGAGCACTCAAAGTTTTGTAATTTCTAATGCTTTTACCTATTGCAAAATATTAGTAAATGATTACTTTTTGAATCACATATGAATGCAATGTAGACAATATTCTCTGCCTAAATCGTTAATATACTGAAGTTCTATGTGTAAATGCATAGTTACTATAAAATAAAATATAAAAGGTTTTTCAAATAGTAATGAATGATTTGTATTCATTATTCTCAGATTATCTTTCTAATAAATTACTTTGATTATGTTGAACTAATAGTTTTCATTCGAATATATTTATGTGAATTTCATTGATAAAAAAAACACTTAAACATCTGTTCTGCTATGTTATACAATCATTCATGAGTAACATCAGTCAATATTATTATCGTATATAGTGTTCTCAGTTAATTTGCACAATCTATAATTGAAGAATTTCCTCTATGAATGTTAAAGAACGATATATTGATTTAACATTTCTTGATTATCATATCTAAAAATGCACATATGTTCTCTTTCTTATTATTCGAGAATGTTGAGATTTTTTTTTCTTCTATCGATTACTAGCGCCATTTGATTATTTCTGATTGGTTATTCTATTCTGACAAATCATTATAAGATGCAGTAGTTTATTATATTATTATTTGTTTACTATATATATTAATCGGCTCAAGCTTGATTTTGTTTTTCGTATTAGAAAAAGTTTTAGATTCATCATGGGAAGACGAAAGATAACTGATGAAAAAACAGCTAAACAAATTCGTGGTCCTGGTCGTAAAGCAAAAAAACAAGGTGAACCAACTTTTCCAAAAGAATTAACACAAACAAGTAAGAAATATTGATTTATTGTTTTTCTTCTTTTAAATAAAATATTCTTTTATTTTATTTTTGAGAATCTACGGAGAAGAAAAAAATATCAAGTCGTGGCAAACAACGGTTTGATTTCTATTTTCTTATTTGTTAAAGTTTATTTTGATTATTTATTTTTTTTTTTCTCTGTTTAGTGCACGTAAACGTCTTCAAAAAGAACAATTAAAACAAACAATAAAAAAGAATACAAGTTTGTTTGATTTTTAATCAAGTTCTTTTTTTGTTTTATTTATTTATTTTTTACTAAAGAACTTAAAACGACAACAAAACGTCAATCAGATGGTGAATCAAATGATGAAGAACAAACAAATGGATATACCGATGAAAATCAACAATGGCTTAAACCAAAAAAGAAAAAGGTATTTTATACATGTAGCATATTTTATCTCTTGCAATAAGTCGAAAAGAATTATCCTCAGTAGAAATATCTCATTATTTGTTTTTTTTTTTCAATAATTTTTAAATGATTAGAACCTCAAAAATAACAGCTGTTTCATCGTATTTTTGACGCGAAAGTCATGAATTTATTTGAGTTTTCAAGTTTCTGAATTAGAAAGTTACGGATCCACATTTTTATGACCTCGAGCTCGAATCTGAAAGGATCTGCAGCTTCCTACTCTGGATTATGATTAAATTTGTCATAATACTAAACGGTTTAATGTGCTTAATTAATAGAAATGTGTAAATGTAAACCTCCCGTCGCAATAGAAGCCGTCAGGACTTCTGTTATGAGAGAAACCACTAATATGACATTTGAAAAGGATATTGCATTTCAATATTCATGCCAAATGTCGATTTATAATATACAACAAGTTTCTTTAGATAACCAGATAATACATTAATTAGTGTTTCTTTCTTGCTTCACAGAAGATCCTAGAAGAATAATAAAAGCAACTGTACATATATAGTTCTTGCCATTGTACGTAATTTCTTAAGACTTATTTGTCTTTAATTATGAGATTACACATCGACATATCTTTATGCGTGGCATCGTAATTGGCTTCTATTTCACTCTAAAGTCCTGTCAATTATTTATTATTCGTTCTTATGTATCTATACGAAATAGTACTCCGTATTGATGTTCAAAAAAAAAAATTGTCACAAGTCGATTCTATTCATCATTAAAAACTACAAAATGAAATGACTATGAAAAACAATTATGGAAATTCAATTCGATAAGTTGAGACATGAATATAGAAGATTGATTTTAATATAAAAATAATACTTATATTTTTGCGGTTAGATTTGCTATAGATTATCAATGTTTAATCTAGTCACTTGTAATGGTATTACTTAGCTTCTATCATTCATCATATAATGATGTGTGGAAATTTGAATTTCCTGGGAATTAGAATTTTCCATAAGCTCTTAGCATCATCGATCAAATAAACATTCTCATAAATGCATAAATTACGATCTTATACAAGTTATAAAACGTTTATTTACAGTTTTCATGTATGAGTTTTTATTCGATACTCGACCAGAAAAAAAGAGCTTATAAAATTTAAAAAATACAGTGCCAGTCAAAAATGTTAGACCAACGTATTCGGAATTTTCTACGAAAACAAGTTTTCAAACTTAAATCCAAATAGTGATTTGAATAGTCAATGAAGTTCTCTATCAAATGCATTACGTACGATAATGATGCTTATAAACTTTTGAGAGAACGTGGCAGAAAATGTGCTGACCTCTTATTTTATTCAGAATTTTGTGTTCTATCAGATGGTATTATTATAATAGTCGCGAGCATCAATCCAGGATTGGTAGGTTTTTAATGTAAAGGATTTACGAAAAAAACACACTATTTAAATGCGTGTAAAATCTCTATTTTCTTATTAACAAATAAAGATTCGTATATCAATAATTATGTCATAGATAGTGTACTCAAGTTCGCTGTAATTTTAAAGTGCGGATAAGTCTTCACTGTCTTAAATGATGGTCTCAGCATGGTTCTTTTCTTCATTGATGACTGTGATTGAGAAATTTTCAAAGTAGATAGTTAAAATTAGCCAGAGATACCCGGTCGGTTTTCGAGGATTCTTGTCAACACTCACGTGGAGTTCTCGTTCGAATAAAAGCCGATTAGTTCTTGTGATCAAACTATGAGACTAAAGGATTACAGTTCAGGTAATTTTTACCTGATAGCGAAACTTTTTGTGATCATTGAATAAGCTAATTTCTACACATTCTTCTAGGAGCTGAAATTTTCCTCTCATAGTTTACCTACGAAATCAATTGTTTTATGCAAAATATACTCAAGAAATAGTGTAAAAAATGATCATATCTAATCATACATTCTTAGCGTCCTAATAAAGTAAATAAGGGACATCCTTTGTTGAACGACGCTTTCGTTGAAATCCTAACAGATGCTGCAATCCATGATTTATTAGATAATCAAGAAGATATAAACACATTTGTCTTTCTTTTTGAAATATTTCTGCTTCAATTATTTTTATTAGGAATTATTTGATGATGATCAAAATGACGAAGAATCGATGGATGACGATGCTCCATTGAATGATGAATTTAATGAAATGGAAAGTACAAGTGAAGAAGAAGAAGAAGATAATGATAATGAAGAACCTAAAGTTAGTTAAATAAACTTCGTTTTTCTTTTCTATAATCAATTTTTCAATAAAAAAACAAAATAGCTTGATATTGAAAAACAATCAAAAAAATTACGTGAAAAACAACGTCAAGTAAAAGAACGTGCTGAACAAGAATTATTAACAAATATTCAACAACATGAAAAAGTTCAATTTCCAAGTGGACAAGAAGTTACAAAAGAAGGTTAAAAACAAATCTACAAAACGAAATTTTTATTATCGTTTTATTTTTCCTTTTTTTCTTTTCTTAGCTCCACAAGCTGATTTACAATTATTAATGCATCGTATTCGTGAAGTTATTAATGTTTTAAATGATTTTAAAAATAAACGTGAAGCAAATAGATCAAGAAAAGAATATCTTGATTTACTTAAGCAAGATCTATGTAATTATTATTCATACAATGAATTTTTAATGAATAAAATTATTGAATTATTTCCACTTGCTGAAGTAAAAATGTTTTTTTTTTTTTTTCATAAATAAAATTTAATTAAATATATATTTTTTTTTATAAAAATTCCTAAATAGATTATTGATTTTTTGGAAGCTAATGAAGTTCAACGACCCGTAACTATTCGAACAAATACATTAAAAACACGTCGTCGTGATCTAGCTCAAGCATTAATCAATCGTGGTGTTAATGTTGATCCACTTGATAAATGGACTAAAGTTGGTCTTGTTATTTATAATAGTCAAGTACCAATCGGTGCAACACCAGAATATCTTAGTGGTCATTATATGCTTCAAGGTGCTTCAAGTTTTCTACCTGTAATGGCATTAGCACCTCAACCAAATGAACGAGTTTTGGATATGTGTGCAGCTCCAGGTGGAAAAGCAACTTATATTGGTAAATAGAATCGTTTTGTTTTTTGAGAAGAGAATATATTCGAAAAATTAAAATTTAGGTGCATTAATGCGAAATAGTGGTATATTAGTAGCAAATGATGCTAATAAAGATCGCGCAAAAGCTATCATTGCTAATACACATCGATTAGGTATAACAAATACAATTGTAACAAATCTTGATGGAAGACATTTTTCTGAGGTAAATATTTTCATTAATTATTAGAATAGATTTTTTCTCATAGTTAATAAGAAATATGTAAAAATAAGTATATTATTGATTGTAACATCAAATCCCTAACGAAAAAAACTACCCGAATTGGTAACCATCGTTTCAGTTCACATTGGGTTCACAAAAAAAGTCTCAAATATGACAAGAAATCTCGTAAAAGAGTTAAGAATCAAGTAAATTCGATTTTTGCGAAAAACAACCATTCTTTTTATGGACAAAATTCCATTATTTGATTTTTTTGGTAGCTGGATCAATCAGTGCGAGTATCATATTAAAGCGAACGAGAGAATTGTTTTTTGAGCTCGAACTTCATGCACTATATGGAATCAAATGAGATATGAAGTGTTCAAAAGCTATAAGGGCTCTTACACTTTTCTTCCGGAGTTATAGCCATTTTACTAGAATTTTAGGTTATGACATAGTATGTAACAATGAATGGAATAATGGTATTTCGCCATAGATAGATCTTCTTGTGACTAGAATGCTTTCTTCGCGAGATATTGAATTTCTTACATCCTACGAATGGTGCGAGAATGTCAGATTTTTGGAAATTCAATATCTCGCGAAGAAAACATTCTGTTCATAAGTAGGTCTATCATTAGACAATGTCAGGTCGAAATATCATCATTCGATTTGTTCGTGCATATAGTGCGTTAGCCTATAATTCCAATAAAATGATTATAACTTTGAAAGAAAGACCAAAGAGTACTTATTATTTTCAGATATTTCATATCTTACAGGAGTCTTCCTTGCAGAGAAAGTTTGAACTTAAAAACGATTTAGTAGTTGAAAGTATTGCCTCATGATATCAGTTCCAGTTCCTTCCAGATGCTAACTTAATAAGGCCACCCCCCTCAAAAATCGATCTCAGCTCCGGAACATCGAGATAGTATGAAACTTTGGGATATGTTGTGGGTGTAAAAGTACGTCTATGATAAAATTTTCAGCCTCCTATCCTGATGTATAAGGTAGATACGAAGCAAAACAGGGTCGAAAAATAGCTTATCGCATCCCCAAAAAATCTCTATGGGTGTTCATTCAATATTGTTCATTGTTTTTTCATATGAAAGAGCATGTCAGGATGCAGCGCCTATGAGGGCCCTTTTTTTTAAATTCTTATCTTTAATAAGA